AGGTAGATGATTTTAACTAGAATTTGGGGTCAAGTTAACAGGAATACACGTGCAGACTCAGTTGCGGTTATGGTCAATAAAATAGATAACTCAGTGAATGGATTGCCTAACAACTGCTTTGGTAGTTATAATAAAATGCTAGAGTTCAAACTTGAAGGACAAAAAAATACTTTTGGGTGTGCGGATCAGTGATGACTACAGAAAAAACATTCCTGCTATAACTTTTGTTCAACTCTAATTGATTAATTAAATAGTTGTTACAAACCTCAGTGATCAGATGAATACGACAAATGCTTAACAGTGAGTTCCAAGATGGAATCCTTGCACTTCATTTCTGAAGGTTAGACAGATCAAAAGAATAGCATTGGCAATTTAGTGTTTGGGTTGCAGTATTCACTGTATTACTAGCTCATAGTCAACTGATTTGGAGTGTTCAAGAACAACTGCTTAACCACCTGGACTAATGTCTTTTACTGTGTGTACACTGTGCACCTTTAATATTAGACGCTTTGAACACATAGCACTCCATCCTATGCCTGGTTAGTTCACAGTATTCGGCAGTCGACAAGTGATCTAACACTCTTCATTGTAGGATGATGCACTATATATCTAATGCACTGCTGCTTTCAACTTTAGGCTTTAAGTGGTTTTAAAAACCCTGGTGTTTTTCACTTTTCATAGATTAGTTTAACTGTTCATAGTACAGATGATACTACTTAGTATGCATTAAAACTCTTTCAAAAGATTGTGTACAATCACCAGAAACGTGAAACCTTACTGTGTGAAATAGTCTTAAGTCAAGAAAACCTTTTTCAGGTATGTTATTTATTATAATAACTTAAAATGCAAACCCAAACCCTGTACAAATACACAGAACTCCACACATACATCGTATCTATTGCTGCCATGTCCTTCCCTAAACAAGCACATTGTTTGAAGTCAATATGAAATCCAAGCTTCAGAAAGTAACAGAAACTAGTTAAGATAAATAAAACAACACTTGTTCTTATCATATCTAAAATATTTAATGGGGAATGCTCTCAAGGCACTCAGAATAAAAAATGCAGCAACTCTTTATGAAAGCAAAACTTTTCTATGCATTGAATGGTTGGTATATCGAGTTGATTCGGAGGATAGAAGCATAGCTTCAACTCAAGATGACGCTGCAGCTATTATTCGATGATTCACTTAAATCACCTCATTTTGCACTAAGAGTGAAAGAATATGGAATAAAACTTCATACTTTTTCACTTGGCATTATTCATGGATACTAGAGCAACTGATCGATTGTTTCGTTGTAAATCTGAAAAACTAATCTATACATGCAGTAGTAACTGATATTTTGTGTACAAAAATGAAAAAAACACATAAAATAACACCTGGATAACTTGTGAAATACCACATAGGCCTAAAATTACCAGATCTTAAACACAAGAATTTACAACATATTTCTTCACTTTAAATTCACCATTATAATCGTTCACTGTTATGTAATAATTTGCATTGCAAATTACCCCTTAAGGCTATGTAATATCACCTGTCTAGGTCATTCTTTTTTACTAGCAACCACTTGACTAACGCTTTCTAAGCTTTTCTTTAGACATATCACTTTTTGAATTAGTAGCGAAAGTGGAAAGTATCTTTTTCATTTGACATACGATGACTAGAAATTTAATCCGACACAATGTTTTATGAAGTGTTACCTTTTGGTGAATTTTCAACTATTTCATTGAACATATGTCTATCAAAGATTTTTTGAAGTCATAATTAGAAGTCATCACCTTCAGGGTGAATTAGGTTGCGTGTAAAAAATTACTACTTGATGGCATTGAATGATGGCTGTGTTATATCATGAATTCATGGCAGCAGGTAAATGTGAGCCATCAGATTCTGACTTAGCGGCTGAATGGCAGCACAAAGGAGTTTCATACTAGGACAAGACAGCTGCCAAGTGATCCCAGGTTTCTAATGACTCTCTAACTGATGTCAGTCCATTAGGAACACTGTTTACTCATTTTCTATTGCACGGATGTGCACAAGGCATCTAAGTGCATACGTTCTTGAATAATGTTATCTTCATAGGATTCTGATAGTAAATTAGTCTACTGGGTTATTAGTTTATAACAATTATAGATTAAATCATAGTACAGTTTTACTTAAGTGTTTGCTTCAAGATATGAGTCATGTTGAACAAATACGTCTGTATTTCACAAGATATTCTTGCCGAGACAAGAGTTCGTCAACTCTCAAATCCAAATGTGCAGTGTTGTATTTCTGACTACTGAGCTGAACAAAGTCAGTAAATCCTGAAAAAGATTAAAATGGAATTGAATGATGATTTAAAGCCTATTACATAAGGAGTAGTTTTATGTAAGGTGTTCTAATTTCTACGGTAACAGATTCTAGTTTCTCAGTAGGACTTTCTCATCAAGCACGCTAAGCAAGCATGGAGCCTACCAATGAGTCACATGTAATATCTATACTCTAGATTCCATCATGAATTAATAGTTTCATGAGAACATGATATTCTGCATGTCATAGTCAACAAATTTGATTGAATACACTATTTTTTGTCAATCTTGAATGAAAAGAATAAGTTATTTTTATCTCTGAAGAAATATTTCTTTTCAATGACTTTTCTGTGAATCTGTACAGTAGTATTTATAAGAGGTACTAAGTCAGAAAGTTGCTCAGTCATTATAGACAAAATATAATAGTTACAAAAATCTACTTTTTGGAAGCATGCAAATACACATTTCATCAGTTATTAGTTTTCTAAACTCTTTTTGTTTCCGTGCTTATTTCATCCTGTTGTACATGATAGACGACTCATCCTGTTATATAACACCTCCTAACCCCGTCGTCATTTAGTATTCATTTACTTGTTTGTATGTTATTCTTAAAATCATTTTTCTTCTCATTTGAAGTTAACGTCATATTACAACCCTTAGGATGCTTTTAACCTACAACAAATGATTTGAGGGTTTTAAAAAGTATATACGCTAAACAAAATAAGAAACAGTCGCTAAACCTCAAGCAGGTTGTATAAACAATTTTAGACAAGAAACTTATCGTTTCATTATGTTTGTAACCACAAGTGTATACAGAAACATAATCTTGAATCTTTTCAGTTCACCTTCGTACAAATTTTTCCTCCCTTAATTATTTATTTTATGTGTGTATTATGATTTACAACGAAAGTCATGTTTGTCTATGCGGTTCCAAAAAACAAAAACAAAGTTTTGTAAATTTATGTAACTCGACACCGAATGTGCCTTCCATGTTTACACAACTAGCAAACATTTTATTCTACAATTTTTAAAACTACTTTAACCTTTCTTCAGGGACACATGCTATGCCGACACAGTAGAGCTTTAAGAGATTTGACACCTGAAATTTCCTGAATAGACACTGTTGCTAATGGCTACTTCAGTATAAAGCGGTCATTTAAGTATGAATACTCAACGAGGGCGAAATATTTTATTGTATTTCCTCACTGACATTATAATGTATGTTTTCACCATCATTCTTTGATTTGATGAATAAGTAGTAGTGTAGAATGAACTATAAAAAAAACTAGAACAGTGGTACCAGCATCAAAACCGCTTCAGAAATAACTATTCTGCAATAAGTTTGAATAAATAAGTTTCATGTTGTCATTGCCGATCCTACAAGGGATCAGGTATATGACTTCCACAGTTTTACCATGTACAGAAAAGATATGAAAACAGCTACGTAAGATTCCAAATGAGGCCAGGATCAGACTAACGTTTAAACTCACAAACTCACCTACAGACAAGCTTAGAATTTCCAAAGAAGCACCTTAGCATAAAAATTGTTCTGTAAACTTCCACCCAATGATTGAGCAGTCAAATATACTGTTAAGGCTTACAATTAAGTCATGTTAGCAAACATTCTCCTTTTAGGCATCTTAGTAAGGACTCTTATTGACCTCTGTATTTGTGCTTCATATTGTCTTCCTCCATCCGGAACCTTTAGCAATCGGTCGTTATCACTTCTTGTGTTTCTCGATGTTGCGCTACATACTACTCATATAAACTCTTATAAGTGGTGTTCATCACATCAGGTCAAACTAGCCAACCGAGGTCGATTAGGTTAGCAAGATATAGAGACCTAGCTAAAAACAGAGTGGCAGACTTCCAGCTAGATAAAAACCTAAACTAGAGTTTAGTACTAGGTATCCATACTGTCACACACTCATGCAACAGAATGAGATGAAGTTACAATTTTAATATATGCATGTTATCACTTTCACTATCTAAGATAGCTGTGGTTTGGGAGACTCTCAGTGATACTGGGTGGTGATTGATTGGGTCATGGCAGGATTCGAACCAGCAGCCACTGGGTTTCCGGCTCGGTATTCTACTTACTTAGCTACGAGACCCGAGTACTGACCAGATTTTTATTTCACATATGTGTACTACATAATCTGCTTTTTCATCACTCATTCTTCAGTTGTATCATGGTTGTAAGTACCTTAATCTATATCGTTGAGAACAGTTTTTTCGCTGAACACTTTTTCCTAGCATTGATAATAGAAGTTTTGTTGATCAAAGTGATACATGACACAACTCTTATTCCGAATATATGGAAATTTTACTATTAATTAAGTCAAAGAATGAAAAACACCAGAAGTATAAAACTTAGACTGGAAATTTGGCTACTAACTTTGAAATGAATATGATTTAAAAACGCTGCTAGAAATGTCATAAATATGATGAAAAAAGTATGTTGCATGTCACATCCATCTCCATAATCATTGGAATGCTAATCAGCTAAATAAAGTCTCAGCATCTAGAATTTCGATTGAGGCAGGTGTTTGACAAACACTTTGACAGTAATCCATCAGTTGTACTTTAAATACCCCATTCTGATGGTTCTATGATTTAAAGATTAAGAAGACGCATATCCTATTTAAAGAATACGTTTGCACAAAATGCAACGTATATGTAATTGAATGTTTTAAAAGTTATAGAAAGATGATAAGCAAATATGCGAATAGTCTTCCGACATATCACTGTCAAATTAGATACCCTGGTGAGTGAATTCATTTCCAAGAAGCGCTTAAAGTAAAGCTATAAATTCTTCTCTCAGTGACTGAAGAAAGTATTCAGACCAAATGTTAAACGTTTATTTTCTTTCGTAACCTATCTGATGGAAAGTTGCAACGATGACAGCTATAAACAAGATTAAGTGATTGGTTTACTTTGAATGCATCGAATGTTAACCCATCTATTTATTATTATACCAGCTGAACAGCAAGACAAAAGTATTTGGAAAATTTATACCAATATGTGATAAGTAATAGGGTTTAATTTTACTACATTGAAGGCAAAACTGCATTTTATTTTTTAAATTAGAACGATTTAATCTCCACACGCCAACTGAAGTGGGCAGAAAGGTTGGATTCCCTCAGAGCTGTCAAGAATCAGTGGTCTATCGGGTGCCAGAAAAGATACTTGCCGACTATGATGCTTCTCATGTTAATGAGATATTTAAAAAGACAATATCTAGGAATTTCTCACTTTGAAAATAGTCTTCACCGAAACCTCATAAAAACGAAACTGAACGACAACTGAAAAAGAACCGTGTGCTGGTTCACTTACCAAGACAATAACTTAGTATTTTTCAAGTTCACCTGGTTCTTTATTAACTGAGATAGTGATGGAATATTGTAGGATAGGAGGTTTTGTACCTCCAGGTCGTAGCTTTACATGAAACATGTGAACGCTTTTTTCTTTCAAAGATGGAATAGAAAGTGTCTTGAAATTAATTAGCATAAGCAGCTGCTACTTTTCCAGAACACTTACTCTAAGCTATAAATTTAACATTCAGATGTAAAGACGCATCTTGCTCTAGTCATTTAAACGATCAGTAAGAACAAATACTCATTGATGATACTGTGGAACTTAAACACGATATCAGGGATTCACTGAAGCATTTAAAATGTAGAAGACTGAATTACACCTATAATTACTAAGTAACTAGTGTTCAAAGTGATATCAGTTAAGGATATGAAGAATACCCCCCAGTCTTTTCTGCATCATAAAGAAACACTTTATATCTTCCGCGTAAAAGCAATCACTTTCGTTTTCATTTCAAGTCTGGCAATCTGACAACCTCATATTTATTTGTCTAACATTTCTGCTTTTCTTCTAGCTCATTTCAGCATATTATTTCGGGATTTTAGTTAACTTAATCTGTCCATGTTGGTAAAATATGTATGAAAATGAGCATGAACAGAATTGTGTTTAGTTTTGTGTAATTTAATACGCCTTTCTGTCTATTCGAAGGATTTATAAGGTCTATCTAAATACTATACTCAAAAAAGTGGACTGCCTTTTTTTTACCATATAAAGCATAAAACGTTTAGTACAATTACGTTTACAGCTACTGGTGAAAATATCACTCTTTTGGCTTTTTTGGTAGGTCAGCTTTTCTAGTCGGTTCAGTTGGTGCATCGAAAGTAAAGTTCAGCACTTCGCAATCCACAGTTCTTTTTATCTATTACATTTTGTAGGTTTCGCTTTATGAATTAAGAAAATGCGAGTAACTGGTTGACTTCCATGAGGTGAATACTGTTTGCTTTTTCTTGTATCTTTCCCTTTATAGAAGGAACGAAATAGAAATATATATGCACCAGGTGGTTAGACATTTCAGGAAGACAGAAAAGCATAGAATGAACAAATGTCTGGTTGTTTTTCTTTCAATTGACTTGAACTCTCAGGACAAGAAGTCATTCAAATCAACGGTAGGGTTAATTAACACTAAAATTGATTAGCTTAAAAGGCAAGCTGCGACGTAATTTTGTATAAACAGTGGCAGTAACAATCAGAAAATTAGGAATAGATCAAAACTTTCAAATAGCTCTTAATAGCCTATAGGCATATCTGTCCAAAACATGTTACATTTCAATAGCAGCCTTTATGCTTAACTTAGATGGTGATATGGCGTTTTTGGACTGTTTCAGAGAAAATAAAAAACTGTCTTTATCCGAGATTTCATCCTTCCCGAAGGCGCCTTTAGGTGCATATCCCAAACTTTGTAAGGAGTGGTACTTGAACTGTCTCCGTCAGTAAATATAGACAGCGACTTCATCATACAGGTATTCCTACTAAAGATGATCAAGTGACAATCTACAATTGATACATAAATCGACACCTGGAAATTGAGCAATTACCCATTTGGCTGTCATTTCTTTGACTAAACTGAAAAATATAGGTATAAATTGTGATAGAAATGTATGTATCTTAATCACGACAGAAGCTTTATAAAAATTTGCTTGCTTTTTGCCAACCTACCAAACGGCCTTGAAGCAAGGGCAACTTTAACAAAAGGTCATCAAAAACTGTCAATGGAGTCACTAGGCGATTGGGGCTAGAATGTCAACACAATGTTACCAAAATTGTTTGTAGGATTACAAGGTAACGGCTAAAGGGTAATTCTGAGAAAATTCCAAGATGATTACGCAATAGTCTGTCAGGTGATAGAACAAGTACTAAAAGTGAGACAGTCCACTGAAAACAGTAATTATGGAGAAAAGAAAATGGGGTGAAAATAATGCTGTCAGTAAATGAAGCGAATAAACAAATAAAACATTTTTAGTTTGTGGTTTCAGGGGATTTTATTCATTTGAAGGTAGTATTCGTCATGGCTGACATGATATAGAGAACCATTGAAAAACTGGAGGGAATGAACAGCAGATTCGAACTGAGGACCTTGGTGGAAAGTTGTACTATATAACAAATTGACAGAAGGAGGAATCCGTTGGCCAACGGATTCCAACCCAGAGACCGAATGGCTAGCACGTTCCCCACAAGACCTGTAGGTCCTCAGTCAGATCCTTGGTGGGGTCGTTGGTGTGTACTGATGAGCAGTCCCATACTAGGATGAAACAGCTATCCAGTGCTCCCCGGTTTCTAATGATTCTCCGAATGATACCAGTCGGTGATGAATGCTGCCTATAAATAATAAATAAATAAATAAAATATCTTAGGGAGATTATAAACAAGGTAAAATTAGAGATTGGACTACCTCTTTTGGACTCAGACATTAGGCTTAAAATGATGAATTAGTACGGCTTCTGCTGAGCTAAAGTGGTGAATCCGCACTTCCCTCGAAATTCCTGAGTTGACCCTATAATTCACTTTGAAGGAAGATCCCGGTGGAACCGAACGAGCGGAGTTAACCATATACCGAAGAATTGGTCTGTTAATCGCTTTGTACTCTTCTTTAAGCAGCTGCTTGGATAGAATACGCTTTGTGTGGCCTATGTAACCTGCTCCACAAGGAAGGTTAGTTACTAAACTCGTATGAAGGCGGTCCAAAGCAGTAGTCTATCATTTTTACTCTCTCGAATCAGTCGGTGGCTGAAGGGAACGATCTGAATTTTGGTGGAGAACAAGCTCTTCTTCAGTGCTGCACACATTTGATCCATTAGTACGTCCATTATTGTGTATCCCTTAAATACAATATATATATGATAGTTTCTTTGGAACTATAGAGGTTCATTCCTGGCAATGTTTGGGCTTCATGTTCCTTCCAACGAACCTTGAACGATGACAACTTTTGATAGACACTCCTTATCTACTTCATCATCTGTAAGATTCTCCTGTTTCTTGCGTATAGTGGATGAAATGGATTTCTTTTCTTGTCCGACGCTGAAAATTGCTATATTGTCCATTCCGGGTTTGTTCCCCTTAAATCGATCTTTTTAGGGGATTATCATGTCTACTTCTCAACAGAACGTCCAGAAAGTGAAGCTATGAGTTATTTTCAGTTTCTATCTTAAAATTAACTGGCTTGTGACATTCAGTGAACTTTTGTAGTGTATATTCAAGTTCACTGTTCTCCTTACAGATGGTTAAAGTGTCATTAATATATTTCTTATATAAATGGAAGTTTACTATTCTCCAGAGTAGCTGCGAAGCAATCAGCTGAGAGAGTAGCCAATGGTGAGCCCATTTCCACTCTATCCTTTTTTCGATAAAATTCATTACTTAGTTTGGACTGTACATTAAAGATGCATAGTAAGAGCGATTCCTTTAGGACGTGCTTAGGAATTCCAGTTTTAAGTTTATCGACCTGAATATTGTCATATAGAAAGCATATTGTTTCTGCGAAAAGGACATTTGCGAGTAGTTACGTGACGTCCAATGACAACATGCTCTTTCCATACTCGCTGACATCTCATGCAGTTAACTAAGTCGAATGAGTCAGGCTTACTATAATAATTAATCTAGCTTTTTACCGGTTGAAAAATTTCAATGAACCACCTGAAATTCCCAAGAGATGGTGAACTGTTCATAACATTTATTGAACGTAGAGGAATATTTTTCTTATGAAATTTGGGAAGACAGTAGGGTTGAAGAACTACTGAACCATACTCACCTCTTGACTCCACTGGCAGTCTTCGATAACCTATAGAAGGTTCACTAGTCGCAGATGGACATACATTTCTGCTGTATTGATGAAATGTGTAGCTTCTGAAAATGATACGCCGAAAGATTTTCTTCGCTGAATTGTCTTTTGCTAATTTCTCATGATCTAATACGACTATCTTAATGGTAGCGGAAACTGTAATTAGTCTGTGATCAACTGAACACTGATCCCATTTGACTGATAACTCTAAAGTAACATAGGAACCACTCGAAGTACATCATGAATTACTGGATTATGCAGCAAATTAAGAATAATCGGATTGCAAAGAAAAATGCCTGGTCGAAAAATGCTGTTATGACATTTGAATATACGAGGAAAAAGTAAGATATCAATATAAAAGCTGTAGTTAACGTTGCTTAGAGCTATTAAAAAATGACGTTGACTCCATTAACAATGATAACCTAGGAGCACTAAACATGCTGTATCTTCAGACGGCCTGTTCACATTTTGGGCTACCAAAAGTATTTCATCTAATATATTTTTCAGCTTCCTCCTTTCTACTTGTTTTAATCATTCAAATGTCAACTAATCGTAAAAAATATTCTCGTGTACTCTTAAATGGCTTTAACCTATCGTTAGACGGGTTAACAACCAGA